AGTTCTGAGTAGTTTTGAAGATTTGTGCCTAAGCATATTTTCAGATCCTAGTATGTGATGAGCAAGAACCAAATTTTCCTTTTAATAATGTTGCATTTTGCCATGAAATATCCAAAAAGTAAATTCACAAATGTTGATGAGTTCTGTTTCTATTATTCATCTAATAACAATCTTAAAACTTTGACAGCTAATGTGCGCATTATGTCATCATGGTAACTGCGAAACACTCCATTAGAGATACATGTAGAACACCCCCAGTATAGTTTCATTGCAAAAGGATCAATAACAACACTGTATATAGATTTCTATGGCAAGAGGCCATTGTTGAGTTTATTCTGTGGCTTGGATGTCATAATGTCACAGCTCACCTGGTTCTTTGAACTCTGTGTGCACATGATTCTGCTCATAACTGCACATAACAGCCAATGTGATCATGAACCGTAAAAAGCACAGAAAGTCATGTTAAGCCCTGCTCCTAGAAGCAGTGGCCATGGAAAATATCACAGACATACAGTAACATACACAAGTGTTACACTCTCAGGTACATAAACTCTTCTCAAGCCACAGAGGACAAGGTGTCCTTTGTAGAAGATCTGCTCAAAGAGAATCAGGAACTAAAAGAGATGCAAAAGGAAGAACGGGAGGAACATCAGGTATACAGGTATATATCAGCTCGTTGGTGAGAGCCCAGTGTGGTCATTGGATGGAACAAGTCAACAGAGAACACAAAAGGTGCTAGAAGCCAAAGAGGCTAAAATCAAACTTCTAAAAAAAAGCAGGCTTTTCATGAAGAGGTGGAGAAAGCCAAGAAAGCTGTGGAGGTATGAAAAGTGAGTATGAAAAAAACTGAAAAAAGACAATTCCCGCCTTAAAGTTATAGTGGTGTCAAGAGAAAAGAGAGCACAGCATCTCCTGGATCTCACTGTGAAATCCCATGAGGTCACTGCTCTGGAACAGAGACTGAAAAAAGAGCAGGAGGAGAAGGAGGCTCTGAAGAAAGTCGTCGACCAGAAGGACCAGGACCAAAGAGCAGAGTGGACTGCCTGAAGAGACAGAGGCACAAGCTGTCAACTGAAGTGGACACACTCAAATCTGCCCTGGAACAAGGGAAAGAGACTCAGACAGACTGGCGGAGCAGGAGATAGAAAACCAGGAGCTGAAGAAAGAAGTGTCTACTCTAGCATCTGCTTTGACAGAGCAGAGGAACATCACCACAGAGGCTAAGAGCAAACTCCAAACCCTGCAGGAGAAGGTCAGGCTGGAGTCTGTAGAGAAAGCACTCAGGTCAACCCTCAGCCAAGAAAAACACAACACTGAAGTCCTCCAATCCACAGAGAAAGAGAAGGCTTTACAGGAGCAGCAGAATCTGACAAAGCAAGAGAAGAACACCAGGGACTAGATGGAGAGCCTCAAGAAGATCCACAAGGAACAACTGTGGATGGCACAGACCACAGAGGCGCAGAAGAGATGACTGTCTCTCTGACCACCTCGGAAGAGAACAACTTTGCTCTAAAGCAAGTGAATAAAGAGCTCCAAAACACTATGGTAATGAAGGAGGAGGTGTGGCAGGAGGTCATCAACAGACTGCAGAAGAAGAGGAGGTAGTTCTACTTCATGGCACGCAATAAACAATCAGTTTCAGCATTTGTGAATTTTGTAAGTTTTCCTTTTAGATATCCAGATTAAAGTACAATTCATCATTAGGGTAAACAAACTGTCTCTTGCTGCCTGGGCCTTGACAGGTGTAAAAGTATGATAAGTACATGTAGGCTACCATCCCACCAAACAAAATAATAATTCAAAAATATGTACACCTGTCATGCACAATTGTTACATAATTGTACTTTAGGTAAAAACAAAATCTTTCTGTTCATCCCTAAAACATGGATTACATTTGATCACAAAACAATGTGATGCTGATATTTTAAACAGCAGTGGTAGTATTTTTACATAATCCAAGTTGGAGCTTGAGGTAGCAATATTACTAATAACCAAGAGATGGTTGTTTCAGAGCAAGATTGATGCCTTTAACATAAATAGACTTATTATTATATTTTAGAAATGTTTTAATAACAGAGAGACAGCTGTCTCTTTGTCAACACTTTAAGTATGCCTCTCTATAATAAACAGACATTTACAGTGAGGATACAGTGGTGGTTTCATTGTTCACCACCAGGGGGACACCAGGCCCACCCACACCCAGAGCATAGAGCATCATATATATATATATATATATATATATATATATATATATATATATATATATATATATATATATATATATATATATATATATATATTTAATTTACATGTTTGCTTTATCTATTGTATACCTTTCCAGAAAAGTTGTATAAAAAGTGAATAAAATAAATACTGTAGCTGTAGGTCTAGTTAATAGTCTGCTGATGTTAGCCATATTATCCTGTACTTGGGTAATACGGTGATGTCGTTTTTGCCATGGCGTACAGCGTGAAGGAGCATGTCAGGTCTTAAATATATTGTTCTTCTCGGCATTGACACAGACAGCACCAGCAGTGAGTGTGCGTCGTCATTAGCGTTCCCCTGCTGAGTGATGTGACAGGCCCTGACACAATGACCTCATTTGACTCAGGTCTGGAGACAAAATGGAGCATGAAGACAGAGAATGGTATGAAAGCAACAATATGATTTCTGGTAGGCTATTTGAGCAAAAGTAGACCAGCTAATTCTTGCATATCAAGCATGTTTACAAACAACATTTTCTCCTCTGCTAAAATCTTCAGTGAAAAGCTTTGCCTGGAGAAATTGGCTGGAGGTGCTGGGGCCAATGATGAGCTCTCCGACTAGCCTCTTTCGCATGCAAATCATATCTGAAATTCTCATTAGCATAAATGCATGAGCAACTTTAAATGCTTTTAATTTTCAATCTCGCCAAGCAGAGGAGTAATTTGTCACTGTCAGGATGGGAGACTAAAAAGGGGGGGACCAGAGGGAGCCAAGGACTGCACGCTAAACTGAAATCACAGAAAATTTCTGATTAACTAATTGACTGATGTACGGTTCAGTCGAGTTGCCTTGAAGGTGTAAATAATTCTGGGTTTATTCAAATGGCAAGAAATGAGGGAATGCGGGTGGATATAGAAAAGCACATTACTTGATGCCTCTCCCCGGGCCATACTTTTCTCTGGTGATTCTCATTTATAGCACTTTTTTACTCTATAAAGGCGGTGCAAGTTAGTGCATAATCATAGATAATCAACTGGAAATTAAAAGACACTGCCACATTTGCAACATAAAATCTCTGTGCCATTTGACAAGAAAGAGGCTGCTTAGAGCGATTCAGAGGCTTATCACATAAGCTGTTGTGAAGTCATTTCAAATTTTATCTTCTCTCTTTTAAGATTTTAGATCAATTGGCACTCTGCTGAGAAGCCTAAATCACTAGTTCTTTATTTTTGAACAAAGCAGTTCAAAATCAGAGAGTCCTTAATGGGTATGCTTAGCTGTAGGTAAAATGAGACAGATTTAACAAGCTCTGCATTCAAATGACTAAAACCAATTATAGAAACTTAATTATAATTCTCTAAGAACATTCACAATGTGAACAGAAGATTAGCTGCTAGTCTAAACACTAACTACCTGTGCCAGAAACGCTTTTGTCACCATGGTCCATTTTAAACTCTTCTGTTACCAACAAAACTGTATTGTCCTTAAAGCCTAGAACTGAATTTGTATTTCCCGTAGTGATACAAGGGCTAACAGGTCAGATTTGTGGAGAGGGGAGCCTGTAAGAATGCATATTTTTAAGGTATTTTTGAACAGTAAAAAGGGGACACATTATATGAAATTGTCTTTTTTTTACTTTAATTGATGTTAGTCTATGGTGTTCCAGTGATTTACCCAACTACTGACAATGTCAAACTTAAAATGCTGCATATTTGATAAAACTTAACATCACTGTGGATTTGTTTTTTGTTTTTTTCTTTGACCTTCTTTCTCTCATTTTCTCATTTTCTGCTTATCTATTAGCTATTCCCTCCCCATCCCTCTGAAAATTAGCAAAAACTTCCACATTTCTGGTGGAATGTAGAAATGTAGTTCGATTATGATTATTTGTGGGAAAAAAATGTGTCAACCATTTGATTATGTAAAACAATTGGAGTAGGACATTATAAGTTTATGTAATTTTTAAAAAACTTCATCCTACTTCTTTTGAGCACCAGGTCCCAATATGTACATGTACATATCTTTGTTTTGCTTTTGTTGTTGATTTATGTTGTTGATTTTGTTTTACCTTGCTGAAACAAATAAAATAAAAAATAAAAAAAATCATCAGAATCAGAATATCATAATAAAAATAAAAAAGTGATATTTATTTTTATTTTGGTTCATATTGCCCACTCTCACATTAGGCTTCTAAATTCGTTTGACCTCAACCCGCAGAACTGCCCCTTATGCCCTCAAAAAAAAAAAAAAAAAAAAAAAAAAAAAAAAACAAAAAAAACAAAAAAAACAGCGTGGCTATGTGTGTCACTTTGAGAGGTTAATTTTTATATCGATCACATACTGCCCCCCAGTGGCCAATCACTCAATTACAAGTGGGGGAGACAAAACGTCACACGGGATCTTTAACTTGAATGTTTGTTAATCAATAGACTTGTTCATAAAGGTCAATAAAAATGTAAATATATATATATAAATATATATAAATACTGGTAATGATTAGTAATGGCTAAGATTACAACATTATAGGTACATCTCATCTTTAATAACTGCTTCATTATTTTGTCACTCTCTCTAGCTCTGCCAAGCCAACATTGCAAATTTACTATTACCAGTGGAATGAAGTCGGGCTTAAACGCTGAATGTAAGCCTGTGTAATTCTTTTTACAAAAAAAAAAAAAGAAAGAAAAAAGAAAAAATGCCCTAAAAATGATGTAATATTCCTGTTTGACCAGGAGGTGGCAGTCTGACTAAACCAATGAGAGAGGCTATGTTCAGTGGTAAACAGAAACCAGACATTTTCTTTCAAAGACAAATGTTTTATTCGAAGCACTTAATTTGGACATATCCAAAGTTATTTCGTCAGGCCACTTCAAATGTCATCAACAAAAGTGTCGACCTCAAACATGTCCATCACAGCAGCATATCAAAAGCTCCACGCTCCATAGAAAAGTAACAAAATACAGACTGTGTAGCCAGCAAGTTACCAAATGTTACACCACATCAACGACGCCTGTCACACTGTCCATACAAACTCTATCAAAAGCATTTAGCCACGTGTCCCCCACAGCACTGCAAGGATTAGTGCAGCTAAAAATGGACATTGTATAAACATCATTCAAAGTGAAGGTGGCCATGATGTAACAAAATCACATTTATTTGTGTCTTTAAAGTTTATAACCAAAGATGAAGCCTCGTAGCAATTTTCGACAGCCAGAAAAAGCCTTTGTCTTGACTTTTAACCTCTTTTCTTTTTTGGCAACAATCTGGGTAAGTTGGGGAATTGGGAATACAAAAAATGGCATTTAATAAAAGGAGTCCATATTGTAAATTTATTCTGACAAAACTTATATAATAGTAATTGTAATAGTAATAGTAAGTTATTAGCACTGTTTAACTCTTTGGCACATTTTTTTTTCATTTATAGCCTAATATAGGACATATTAAGAATTCACATTAGTGCTATCCAAACTTGTGCTTAAAATTTTGTTACCCCTAGGTACAAAACCAGATATTAAATTAGTACATTTAAAAACTTGACCTAAGGGCCAGTGAAGTAGGTATATTTGTATAAAAGTAGGCTAACCATAACATACTGGTTATTCTACATGTAGATGCCAGGATGTTGAAGTAGCTAGTATATAGAGGCTTTTACTTGGGCATGACTAAGCATGCTATTTTTAACTTAAACAATCTAAAAATAAAGAACATAATGACGGGACAACAAAAGTGCTTCTGTTAAACCCTAGAAAATCTTATTAACCTTGTACAAGACTTCACTAGTTCCCATTTTGATTAACAGCAAAGCTTACTTGAAGCTAATGCCATTTCATTTGCATATCACCTTTTCTCATTCAGATTGCACATTCAATATCCATCTTTTTTTCCCCCATACTCTCTTTCAAAACATAAGGGTGTTTAGATACCATGATGGACAGTACAACATTACAAAGACTCATGAGATTAGACACCCACCAACTGTAACCTTCATATTGTCAAGTCATATCTACAGTTTCAGATCAAATACTGTTGCTTCCATTCAAAACAAAGTTTTAAGGCTTCACCCATAGATGCATTAAGTTCCCATGCAAAAGTTCACATTGCAAGCAGCCATCAATACATTGAGACACAGTGGACATTTACAAGTCTATATAATGTGTTTTGCTTATTGAATTTTGGCTAAAGCACACCCTTAAGTGTTATTCTGGACCTGACCATTATGTAACTTTCTCAGTCTTTTCAGGCAAAGTAAGAACAAAAGGGAACAGCACGCCCCGAGCCTCCACTGGCGCCTTGAGCATCTCCTCCACAAATAGGCATTCTCCTCCTCCACCACAAACTGCAGAGTCTGGCTCTTGTTCACGCAGTAGATACAGTTCCCAATGACAGCGCATCTGAAGGGCAAAAGACTCCCTATTTTCTGTGAAGCGCAGTCGTGCCACATTTTCACTATGGTGTTATACTTGAACACATTGATCCCTTGCTCGCGGTTCACATCAAATCTGTAGATGAAGCTTTTCAGAGCCACCATGTCGCTTGACTTCTTCCTGCTGTTGTTGTAGGGACACTCTTGCCACTCATCTCTCTTTGGATCGTATTTCAGAAGCCGGTAGAACAGAGAGCCTCCAGATACATACAACTCTCCACTGCAGGTTGTGGCTTCGTGGGCAACTGCGAACGCTCCTTTAGGGAGAGGAGCTACTGTGGTCCATCTGTCCATACGGGGGTCATACTTCTCCACAGTGAACAGACATTCTCCTCCAATGGCATACAAGTAACCGTCCATAGACACGAGCTTTAGCTGCGCCCGGGCCTGGATCAGAGGCCGCACCTCAGCCCAGCGGTTGGTGATCGGGTTGTAACAGAATACTTTATCAGACACTTTACCTTTTTCTCCATTACCCTTGATCCCCCCGGCCACGAATAAGTAATTAAACATAGTGCAGATCCCACAGCCCTTAGTGTTGAGATCATCTGGCATCGAAGTCAAGGCTGTCCAGTCGTTTACCGTTTCATTGTAGTAGTAAATCATATGGTTGTCCTCCAGTGACCCCACCGACAATGGACTCTGTGGACGACTTCCACAGCGGCTTGGCGGTCTGCTCCCAACGCGATCAAAAACATCATTGACTTCCGCCACCATCAGCACCTGCTTCCCCTCCATTCTCTTCTTCAAAACCAGGTCCCTCTCAGATCCCGTGAGACGCCCGTACACAGAGGGGTCTTTGAGTATTTGAAGGAAATTATCACTCATGAACCCATACGCAGTCTCTTTCAGCTCACTTAGGCGTTGCTTTTTGGCGATTGTAAGTATCTCGTAGCAGTTCTCTGCCGTGATTTGTTCAGACATGCAATCCATAGCTGCCTGGACGGCACAGGGGATCTGCAAAATCTTAGCCCCGGTGATAACATCCACGACATTATCTTTGCTAACATTCATATGAGCTGTGTAAACATAATCTATTAATGTGGACATGGTCTTGTAGCTGACCCCTTTCACTTTGAGGATGTTGCGTGACAGGCGAGCTTTGAAATAGTCACTTTTCTCAGCCAGGACAGACTTGTGTGCGTTGATTGTCTGTCCGCCAACTTCAATGACTAAATCTGGCTCCTCTTTTTTCGACAAGCTTTTTTCTGCTTCCTGGCCACTGTCCTTGAAAGTGTCTGTTTCCTGGACAGTTTGGCCGGAGTTGTGCATTGAAGAATCTGCATGGTAAGACACTTTAGCTCTGGCGCCATTGTGGCTTTCACTAGCAGTGCAGTTCTGGTGCATGCTAGAGAAATGGTTGGGCAGAGCGGTTTCAATGTGGGCACTTGTTTCTGTTGACGTTGAGGTATATGATCCGTTATTTTTGTTTTGTGCCGTGTGATTATTATCTATCAACCTCCCATCCAGTAAATATTCCTTTTCGACCACAGGTGGCGGGCTGATCTCCCCGTCATCTTGAAGAAAATTGTGGATACAGTTTGCACCCAGCTTCCCATCTTTCAGATCAGCAGGCGTTGCGAGGTCAGAGGTCGCTGCATGGAGTGTGGCATCGGTCTCCACGGTGACGGCCCCTCCTCCCTGCACGCAGTCCTCGCTCATGTTACACTAGTTGGACGCTTCACAGATCATGCTGAGTGGACATAGTCTGCCAGCTGGAGTGATTTCTGCCTTCTCTCTGCACCTAAATGAAACAAAGAATCAATAGAAAATAAATAAATAAAAAATCCCATAAAAACATCAAGAGACTATTTAATCTCTACTTCTCTTAGATCCAGCTGTTTAAAAAGGAGGACAGACAAACAAGGAGTCCAGTACTGTCCTATAAATGCAGGATATTACATCAAACACATTTAACCTTGTAACTGATTTTAATCCATGAAGCCATACTCTGAATATTTGTGGATGTGGACACTTGCAAAAGCGCATGCGCAAAGGGTGTTGCGCTGATGGAGGAATTAATACAAAAAAATCACTGTGAATAGATGTTTGCATTTAATATTAAACTTGTCTGTAAAGGCAGTTTACAGTTTAATGCCCAATAGTTTCCAAATACTGTATTTACGAGTAATTTGTGTCGTTTAACCATTCCATCAACGATAGTAATTTGACGTGACCTACCTGCGTTTTCCCGCTGCGAATAAACAGCTCGGCACCCAGTTTCTTTCTCTGCTCGTCCCTCCACAAAGCTCAGTTACGTAAGGGCAGTTGCCATCATAATGGACGAAGCAACTCGCCGATGCATTCTTAGATTAATTCAACAAAAACGCAGCCGACGTGTCTCCCACTTTGCTCCTGCCGCGTATCGAATTGTTCATGTGCGTCTTGAGTGAAATCGCCCAGGCTCTGTGGAGAAGGCGAGGCAGAATGACGATCCTCCAGTCAGTCCAGGTCGCACCTCCTTTAGATCAGCCCAGTCGGAGCTCTGCCAAGTCTCCTCACTCGGCTTCACAGTCGTAGGAGAGCCGCTGTTCCCATCCTGTCTCTCCTCTTGCTATCAGGAGACGGAGCTGTCCAGCACTGACGGGCGGGCGTTTACTAGCATCATCAGGACTGGGCTTTTAGTCGTGTGGGTGTGTTTTTTTTTTTTTTTTCCCTTTACAGTAGACTACAGTGAGGCGGTTTTAATATTGATCTAAACCACGCCCCCTCCTTGGTATTAACCCTACACTTAACACGAGGCTCCATCTGTCCATCTGTACGCGCGCTGGATGAGACGCATTCCTTTACGCATCCCCCCGGTCTGGGATAACGATTGGTACAGACTACAAGAATAAATTACTGTTAATATACTGTCAAATGTAACAGGGAGGAGTTGTCGATATTTAAGTAGGTCAAATAAAATAAATGCGCACTAAAATCAACACATGTACAAGCATATGCAATGTAAATGTATACATGCATTACCATTAACTTGTAGGACTACTTATTTTACTTTGGTAAAGTAAAATAAGTAGTCCAAAATAATATTTGGTGCAGTTTGGGAGTTCCCAATGTGCATAACAATACTGCAATAATAGAGAGAGCATGGCCTGCGCAGCATCAAAATTCCAGTCATCAGAAACTGTGTATTTTTTTACTGTTCAAAGTGTTCATTGCTCCCTTTTCAAAGAGCATAGGTCTACAACTGCCCTTTAGAAATATAAAAATAGAGAGGCGCCACCACCCGGTCCATATACATCTATCAACCCACTGAGATTAAAGGGCATTCAGCTGGGAGGTTTAAATGACAGATATTCTGAGTACAAAGCTATGCTCATGATCCATACACATGCAAAATGAGGGTCTCCATGGAAACCTCAGGAACAGAGTGAAAACAAAGCTAAATGTACAAGTAATGATACAGCATCCACCCATACACACTGATAAACGACCTTGTAATTTATGTAGTTTAAGTCAGAAGCATTACATCATTAGAGTAATGCTGCCACAATTGGAGCAGATATCATAAGGGATTTCCCACCACACTGCATCTATAACCAAACAGAGTGTAGCTGATGGTGGTTGTGCAACAGTAAATGTAGGCGTAAGAGAGAGAAAGTCTTGACCCATTCTAGACGTAGTGGGAGAGAAGAAATCCAGGAAGAGTGGTATCAGGCGCAGTTCCTGTGGCCCCCCAGGCACATTGCTAGTCACAGCATGTACTGATGGCTGCACACAGTCAGAGAGGAAGAGTTCAGACAGGAGGAATCAGAGCACTAGAATAAAGATGACAGAAGTTTGGTGTGGAGTGTAACTGTTATTTTGAGAACACAAATGGGACACTAAAATGTTTAAGATGAATGTTAATAAACACATCCAAGTTTAAAATAATGTGGCAGTATAAAACATGTATTTTTAAATATCCTTGTAGCAAACCTACATAATGACAAATGGGGAAACAAATGAGTAGTAATACATCCCGCACATGCATAACTAAACCTGGCCAGCCAGGAAGTCCCATCTCTAAGACAGTTCAAAATATTTGTCATCATTTCCCTTTTTCTCTTGTTAGGATTTTTAGGCCCTTCCTAACAGCTGTTCAGTGTTAAAAAATTGATCGACTTATTTGACAAAAACAAATTCAATCTTCAGTCCTTTCCAACATAATCCTGAGACATTCTTACAATGCTTCCATAAGGTCAGTCTAAACCTTGAAATGTCTGTATAAAATATGTTACATGATTCCAATCAGAATTGTAACCTTACAAAGGCCACAGATTCATATTCAATTTCCAAAATGTAAATACTGAATTTCTATGTTGTGACATGGCACGCAAACAAATAAGTAGTAGCTCTGTTTACAAATGAATGATACACTCTTATGTTGAAAAGCATATTAACAAGCAAGTCTTTTTTAAATACACAGTTTTGTCAAATACTGTTATGTATCAGTGGTTATAACTATCATTTTAAATATGCACTTTTCTTGTTCTTATGGTACTTATATTTGAAGCAGCTCTGGTATCAGAAACATAAATATTCAGTAATGAAATTGTCATTTGACTCATTCTGTGCTTGTCTTGTGTTTTGGTCCTTTACATGTTAATCAGTGGGATCTGCCATATCATGATGTTAGATGTTGTGTCTTCATGGCGTGATGGTTTGGTCTTCTTGTTGACTTTTCGGTGGCCCAGACCCCCCAGAGACCACAAGCACAGAGCTGACGCTGACCTTGTTGGTGCGGCGGCCCCTCTGCTTGTGGGACGGGTCATGCAGCAGGTCGTACAGGGCCCCATCCTCGGGCCCATGCTCTAGGGAGCCCTGGGAGGGGGCCAGGGAGCCACAGGAGGAGGAGGAGAGGGAGTCTTGGAGAGCCATGCTGGTGCAGCCTGTCTCTCCCAGCCACACCCCTCTGCTCTGCGCCGGAGTGAGGGTTGAGTCTGATGGAGGATCAGCGCCATCTCCATCCATGAGCTCAACAGGTTGGGCAGAGGCAGTGTTAGACAGTATTGTGGATGAGGGGCGATTACAAACTGCAGCTGCCATAGTGAGGAACTTCACTGGTCCACTGTGAGCGTGCAAGGACACCATACCCCGACCTAGACAAACAAGGCGACATTCTTAATACCCACTTAACAACACTTACAGGTGCACTATGGAATTTGTTTTTGGTGGAGGGTCCTTCATTTGCTTGTCTACATGGACATTACACATAAAATACAACTAAGATCCTGAAAAAAATCATTTTTGCTATCTCCTCTTGACAGATCTGACCTGTGGTTTGACTTAGTGGTGGCACCTGCTTGTCTCCATGGAGATAGATATGTTTAATGCCATACTGTGGAACAGCTCAGCCAAAAGTATAACATCTTTATGGAGACAGGCAGATGGCAGACCTCTTCTAACACCATTAAATAGTATTACCAATGTTGTATTTTTCCTTTTTCTTATTTTGATGCATGCTATATACACATGACTGTGTGAAAGTGGTATCTCTGGCATCTCTTACCTGTCACCTTGGGGATCCCCTGCAGTCTGGGAACTGATAGGCCCACCGTCACCCCCAGATTGGTGCCGACCAAAAGCAGTCCATGACACACTAGCAAACTGCTCACAGAAACTCTATGGTTACCTACAAAACACAAACGTAATTGTATTTATCAGAAATGAGTAATAGCAACTTAATGACTTGTACTTCTAATTGTTAACGGTAATCTGCAGTATAGCTTAAAATCAGAAACAGATTCACTGACTACCTGTCCAAAACTGCTAAGCTAGCTAAGTAAGAGGCACCGCCATATCAGTTCAAAGTCACGGTATTCTTACAACTAGAGAAATATACAAAAAGTATATATAAGACTTTATATGTAATGAGCCACTTGAGCAGGTCTGAATACTGTGTGGTGTGTGGGGGTGGGAGGTGTGCCTTTTCAGTAAGTGTGATGATGTTCAACAGTTATTGGTCTCCAAGGAAACAGAATGAGAAGCGTGGATAAAAGCTGCTCTTTTCAACGACAAAATTACCATTGTGGTACTCTTCACACTAAACAAACAAATACAAAAACATTATGTAACGGAATAAGTGAGGCATGATGCTGTAATTAGGAAAGTAGTACAGATTCTTTTGGGACACAAGTTTGGTAGAATCAGAAGAATCACTACACAATACTAGTTGAAGTTAGTAGAACCCAAAGGCAAGAGCATGGCAGTGAACATAGAGTGCGTATACATGCACATCAATAACCCGGTTATGATCGGGTTTTTTGAGTATCCTGGTTTCTTGATGGTGCATGTATACGCAGTAACCCCAATACTGACATAACTGGGATATGGCTAATAACCGGGATACTGATGTGCATGTATACACACTCATAGTGTTTGTTATAATTTGTGAACATTACCATTGCACTGAGACACAAACGCACAATCTACAGGCTGAGACAATTTATAAAGAGATATGTTCCACAGTCACACATCATTTGTGATTGGAGAGGAATATCTATTTTTCCAGTACCAGTCCCTCAGTCCTCCTATGTGGGAGGCAAGATTGTCATGAGTCATTACTGCTGCAACAGCTTGACTTGAGTTTCCTCCTTCAAAAGTAATCCTCTAGAGATTTGGAAAAAATTACTCCCAGTCTCTCCGTCTGACCCTCCTCACTAGACCTGACCCCTCTTATGGGGCAGACTCACGCCATTCTGACATTCTCAGAGGGATATAGTCACAGCCACCGACCTGTGGAGTCCTTTTTCCAAAATCTCAGGACAGCATCCACATGTGCTTCTAATGAGGGCCCAAAGTGAACAGAAACATAGACTAGCCTTGCTCAACTTCCTACTTTCATAATATTTGGAGTTCCCCGCCCAGAGGGTGAACTAAAATAAACCCCAAGCGAGCATCAACATGGTCCGAAGCAGCCTGATCCTTTACCAAAGCATCACTTTGATCTGTACTTAGTCCCGACAACCAACAGCAGGAGGCCAGTCCAAATCCCAAACATCGGCATAATACTCAAGATAAGAGGAGAAATGTCACACAGCAGTGTAATTATACTAGTACATGTCATATTAAGACTATAATACAGTCATTAACATAAAATATACAGTACAATTAGAATGATGTAGATTAGAAGTATGGTCCATGATACTGAACTGTAGTCTACAACAAAAGACATCTAAACAGCAGAAAATCTGGAGGTGTTATTTACAGACCCCCCCCTTTATGTTTGTGTCCCATCTGACCACGCATGACTGCCTATTTAGGTCAAACAATCCTGACAAAGACATTAAGATCAACACAGCAGTAAGCCACAATCCTCTGACATACCACTACTGTGCTCATGATGGAGGACTGCAACCAAAACTCCTCAATATTAATATATTCATTTGAATAAAATCTTAATAATTTTGTCAACATGCCCACATCACTTTTACTATTGATTGTAATACTTGTTTAATCAAAGTACTAGCCGCTCGTTTCCGTTTTAAACAGAAGATCAGTAACATAAATCTATTTTCCAATTGATGAGCATGTCCTAATTGTTCTCTATCTGGGTCATTAGCTGCACATACATACAGTACAGTCTTTGAATGACCCTTGACTGAACATTAGTGCAATTCTGTTGAAAATGTGAACTGCACAATGACTCTTAGTTAGACCACTACAACATATTAAAGAGGACTGAAGTGAAAAGTGCATGCTGAATTGCTCTAACATGTGTGAACATGAGAAGAATAACCCCACCTCAGGCACCTTGTGGACTTAACACAGAAGCCCTGTTAGAGGTATTCATGCTCATGGCAACGCCCCATGTGTCTTTCTCCTGCAGGATGGCCAAGAATACATTATGCTGTAATGCAATATGGCACCCAACCAAAAGATCTTATCTCTGCATTCTGGACTAGTAATAAGAGAACAACAATGCTTCTTGTGATCAGATCCACTGTTGGTTGTTAACATCAACACGATTGTGGCTGATGACAAGTCCCTTATTTTTGAACTTCAGTAACAGGGGTTCACTCATGTCCAGCTGTCTGACTGACACCTTTAGTTACATCAGATTTTGAGCAACATGGAGACATTGCATTAGTAATATTTATTACCCTGGCCCATGCATTCTATACAGAGATTTTCTTTATATAATTAAAAAGTAATTTTGGCTGTCCAAACAAAATATGTAGTACAATAGCAAAGGATTGTTTCATACAAATGCAGTAGTAAAGTGTTTTTGACACAACAAAACAACATGACAACATAATCCTAAGCATGCATAGACTGGCTTATTGAGTAAACACTGATGTAATACTGCAAATGACAGTTCCCAAAAAAATGCCCGAGTGACTTAACAATCGTCACATACAAACATCTCATACAAACAACCATGTTTAGACTGAAGCCAGAGTATGCATCCAGTGTTCACCAGATACCTTAAAGAAGTGTCATTTCACTGATTAAAACTGACTAATGGATAACAATGGTCTCACCACAATTGTGCTTTTTGGTATAAAGTATAACTTATTATTACCATACTACATGTCCATAAGATACACACATGCTGGGAACTGACAGCATGGGTTCAAAAGTGCTCCAACAATAGCCCCATAATAAAGGGGTACAGAGCCACTATTTAGACTGGGGGAGCCTTGAAATACGAAAGATGACAAACTGGACAGGCATGCAATAACAAAGCTGTCTGTGATGTCAGCTAATTACTGAGAAGTGGTGCAGTAGACAGTAGACAGACAACATGAGGTCAAGTATTTCACTGAACTATCAGAAAGCAGCTGTCTTTATGGTTTACTTTAGTATCAGTATGTCACTCTTAATGTCCCTTTAGTTTACAGATGGACTGGACACTTCAGGTACATAATGACAAACAAATCCATGTTTCAAATGAAGACCATGTAGAAAATAGTACAAATTATGTATAATTTATTTTTCTGCTTGTTATTATATAAGATACAAGTGTAACAGTACACTAGCCTTAAAATAGAGTTAATATCACACTTGATTCTTACCAGGCAGTATACTCTGGACAGGCGTGGCGATGTTAATGTCCTGTAGGTGCTCCAGGGTCTCTGTATGGAAAAGACGGAGGCTGGAGCCAGAACTAAAGGCAATCCAGATGCCCACTCCAGCTACCACCATGTGGGACACCACCATGCCCTCCTCCTGGTGAGCCTCCAGCTGCTTCTGGATGTAGGACATACAACGTATTCATCAAAAATCTATAGAGATATAGAAGATATTTTTTTCTTGTATTTCTTCCACGAGAATGACAATATTTTTTATTATTATTAAATTATTAAATTATTATTGTGTTATTCAAAATTTGACGTCACATTTTTAAATGTTATATTTTTGTTCTCACTGAAGAACAGCATTTTTGATGTGTAGCCTCTCAAAATTTAACTTTGGAAAAAAGTATCAGATCGTTTTCCACATGTGTCTTGATGATCTTGTGTCATGATATCTTGTCCTATCTTGTCCTATCCCAACCTCTAAACAATGAAAAGTCTGTCCATATGCTGTCAGAGGACTGAATATTTTTGTTGCATGTTTTGAATCCTATAACACCACACAAACAATATCAATGTCATCTACAGTTTCACATATCTGCTTCACGTTCATTAAAATTTCCGTTCCTGGGAGGCCTACAAACCAGGCTTTCACTGCGAGTTACATAATCTCACCACACGCTGCTTCATGTGGAGGTGGTCTTATTTTTGGAAAGAGGGAGGCCAGCCGAAAGTGTGTCAGTGCTTTTTACTTGAAAGTTCAGATTTACTACCAGCACTGGCAAAGCGTATCCTATTTTGCAGTTAGTAAAAAAATTCCAATCATTTCCTTTTTTCTTTCCTTCGGTTTCATGTTTTTCGATACCCAAACTGGTCTAGTCCTTGAGGGAAAGAGAGTGAAGCAGGCAGGTGGTCCCACATAATGAGCTTAATGGGGTTAAACTGATTATGAACGAGTGCATGTCAGAAAACCAGTACTATTCCTGGACTTGTAACAGGTGTGTCCATTTCCTACTCTTATGGTGAGTTTATCCAACGCATGCCAAGTGTAATTTGTGCCCAGATATAGACCATATGTTTACATTCAAAAGACTTATTGAATGTAAATATATGTGGCAAAGTTTTCATTGCTTTCTGTTTTAGTTTAACATGCTCCAGACATCCAATCAAAACAGAAAGACAAGTTAGTTCCATACCTCAACAGTGTGAGATTGGGTGCTGATGATGAAAACCTGCCCTCCTGATGACGCCCAGAGGTGCTCTTCCACTGCCAGCATTGCCTTCACGGGTAAAACGCCCAGCTTCAGCACCTTAGGGTTGTCGGAGCTCCACAAACCATCTAGACAAAAATAGCAACACTGGTTTCAATTAAACTGTATATGTGTTTTTTTCTGTTACCATCTACAGAGGCTACAATATATGTTTTTCATTGGCCCTTCTCAAATGGTGCAATAATAACACTTTTCTTCTTTCTTAAAGGTGCACTATGTAACTTTTGTAGTGGACATCCATCTGCTTGTCTCCATGGAGGTGTTTTTTGCATGAAATTATACTGAAAATGAAAGTAACGAGGCCAACTCTCCACAGATCTGACCTGTAACTTGACATGGTGGTCCATGGAGACTTAAGACAAAAAGCGCACACCACAGACACAAGGAGAATCTTATGAGACTTAAAATTGCAAAGACCGCAGCAGGATATGTCTGCAGACCACAGGCTTTAAAGTTGTGAGTGCGATCATGTCAGTTGTTTCCTGTCTACAGTAAAACCACTCATAAGTGTTCAAAAGATTAGAGCTCTGCACTTCTAGTTTAGATATGTCAAAACTGTGTTGTTATTATTTGTGAAATGTGGTTCAATACTTCAGATACAGGGTTTTTAAAGCATGAAACGTTGGTGATAAAGTTCACAGGAAGTAGAATCACTATTTCTAATTGGCTAATTGCAGCTTCACCTCGATCCGTGCACTGTGTGGATGTAAAAAGACACATGTGAGGAACTACTCTTGCCTTTTTACTTTCAAAGAATGCTTCAAACTGGATTAATAGTGCGGTTTTGTGAACTGGATATCATTATTTGTGGAGGACAATTTTTATGGTTAATGTGGATGAGATGCTGCACTTTAAATTGACCACTTTACGAGAGATGAGGAATAAAATCTTCTCATTATTTTCTCATTATCCTGAGTTTGTATCTTGCATCTCTGTGTCCGTCACTCCTCTGCCCCTGATGCTCTGTTTTATTGGCTGTTACCCATATGACCCACATACACACAAGAGGAGCACAGCACTTCAAAATCTCACACGAAGACACACACATAGCACACCTTTAATATGCAACAAAATGTTATCCGTGTAGTTTAGATAGCTACCAACACATAGTCATAGAGCACGCGATTCACGCATTAGACATCTTTTAAATGCTATTAGTCCTGAATGAATTTCAACTGCATACTCCCAACAGAGCCTTGATTTTAAAACATAAATTGCAAATCCAATAGCACTAGTGATTACAAAATGCATTTTTTCCTCCTGACTGTATAACTCATTGGCTGTTGATGGACTCCAAAGACATCACTATGAATATAGATGTGTTGAGAGGCATTAGTCAGAGTGAAGCTGTATCCCACACACACCTCCTACACAGTGCTCAACATGTGCCCGGACACCTACAGCGCCAGCTCTGGGACAGAAAAAACACAAGCTCTGCCTTTTTAATATACGTGCACCGAAACTAGACAGATTTGAGATGGTAGAAGGGCTGCATGATTTTGGAAAAAAAGAGCAATATTCATTTGTGGTATATTATATGTTTAACATATTCTGTTCACAGGGCACAATGTAACCAACCCCAGGAGGATTCACATTTGAGAGAAAAATGAAAAATAAAATGACAAGAATTCCCAGCCTTTTAGTACAGTTGTAGAGGTGTAAAATATTTAGCACATTCTGTTATCTGAACAATTGTAACCTTTGTGATTTGACAAATGCAGCAACTCAAACTGCATTTTCAGTTCTATTGTAATATATTGTGCAGTCCCATATGTAACAAAATGTAAGCAAAGGTAAGGAATGAGTCAATTTACATTTTTCTGTTTCATAAGAGTTCAGTAGGAGGTTAATTTTTGCCAGATACCTCACTCCCTGGGTAATCTAGTCCAAGAAGCAAATGTGGCCACACCGGTAGTGTTTGTTTTGAAAAGGCACAAAGACTGCTATTGAAAGAAGTACCACGCAGTAAGAGAGAAAGAGAGAGATGTTCTTGTAAAGCTGCCATAATTACAGCGGAAGTAAAAGGTAAGCTCCTTCAGCAAACTCAAGGTGGGAGCAGAATTCCAGTAATGCCATGTGTATATTATTGTAGTAATCATACCATAAAGAAGCGCTTATAGAACATGAACTGTGAATGCCAAACCGTGGAATAATGTGCTTTATTAGAAAATATGTTATTGCATTAAGATTTGAAACCCATGTTTAAAAATATTGATTCTGATGAGTCCACGAGCATTAACGTTTGAAAAAAGACTGAAATACAAACTTTTTTTAATGAATACAAGAATTAGATGCATTTAAGAACATGTTTGCAGAGGTCTGAGGAGTTAGCAGTTTTTTTTTTATATATTTAGTTGTTTACAGTGGATTAAGTAAATGACTGCAGTCTTAGCACCAACTCAAACTCTGATTTCGAACTAATTGTGGTGTATATTGTGCAGCGTTGTGAAAGATGGCAAAACAAAACAAAAATATTCTTTTACTGAGTGCTTATGACATGTTCCCTTTGCTGAATCTCTATGACGCAGCTCGGTGCAAACAAGCAAGCATGGCAGAATGAGGCTGAGTGGACAGGCCAAAGAGACGACAGCATCAGCACCCACCAAACATTACATTACACGCTGAAGCTGCACGGTAGTCTGGTTTAGCCTCAACATAGTATTTTATAATTATACTTTACTTTTTAACAAATGTATTCATTATTAGGAGTGGGTGATGTTGATAAAAATGGATCTCTCTCCTTTTTTATGATCTCGATGAGTAATCCATTAGCAGTGCAACAGAAATGTGCTGAAATGTGCCTGTAATTGTCTGGATTGAGAATTATTGCATAAAATTTGAAGTGCACAAATCACGTCATACCCTTTTTAACATGATTAGACAGTAAGTGCATGTTTCTGTCAACTCTTTGTGCAGCGGTTTATTTCATGTAAGAGAATTTGAATCTCTCCAAAACAGCAGTACAAAATATCCAAATACAATACCTCTGTTCATATTTAAAAGGAATATCAAAGAAGCTAAATCTGATGGGTGAAGCAGTGACATTTAAAGAATTAAATTAAATAAATAAAAAGAAATTCAGATTCGGAAGAGCCTTTAATTATCGGCCAAAACACAGTCTGCGTTTACAATATGCAATAGTTCAGCCTGTGTCTTGTATCAGCCCATTAAAACCTTGCAACAGGAAAATCTTGCAACAGATAATAATTGTGCATCAACTGAAACTGAAACAGTTATGTTACAGGTTGGTACATGCACAATAATTATGTGGTGTAGTACGTGAAATACCTTTACATTTTTTGTTAAAGGAATAGCAATAAAACTACTAGAGAATATATCTTAATATCTTAAGAAAAAGCTTCCAGTTAGGTGTAATTTCAGGCTATACAAAGCTTTATTTCTGAGATATTCTTCATGGCAGAGGAAGGAAAATTAAAAGCAATCTTAGTCTTGAGAAAAGGAGTACATGGTGAGCGGTAACGGCTAAAACTTCTGTCCCAAGGCATTCATATTCTTAACTTCATGCACACACTGGCTACAAAACACTGATCAAATGAGCGCAGCAGAGAAAATATGCAGCCCAAATCTATTTTGCATTTGTGTCAGTGCTCGGGAGGAACAGGCTTAAATAGGTCACCACGAATGGATCAGCTTCTTCAGCAGCAACCCTCGGCAGAGAAGACCCACTGACCTGAGATCCACTCTGAGGAGACCAAGGCCAGGAGGGCAATGGAGCAGGGACTAAGTGACATAATAACATGATCTACAAGTTCATTTCGAAATTGTTATAGTGAAGATGTCAAATTAGGTTAAATTGTGCATATAAAGCAGCTGCAGAGGGATCATGTTAAAGCTAATAAAAAATACAGAATAGTAGTGCAGAAATATCACTGCAGCCTGAGATTAACTTCACAATCCATTCACAAATTGACCAAGGCAACTACACGCACATTTACAAGAGTCTGGTTTGAGCCCAGTTTGAGTCCTAATGTAGACTTAGTTTGGTCCAGTTCTCAGATTTTTGTGATTCATTTCATTTGAATATCGCCAACCCCTAACCTGAAGAAAATGTGTGTGTGTATGTTTTTTTAAGATAATAAAAAAGGTTCAATATAAGAAGCTCTGAGTGTATGTAATAAAATTTCTCACACGGTGCACAAAGAGACAGCCCACATTCAAACTGAGCAATAAAACTGGGTGTTTCAGAGCAGACCAAATATTTACTTTAGTCTTTATATTCAAACCTCCCAGGTGAATACGCTGTTGTTTTGCACAGTCACATATACTTAACCCATGTAATTACACTCAATTAACCCATTTCAAAGTCTAAACAGAGATTACAAAGAGAGACCTCTGAGGAGAAGACAGAGGAGGCACACAAACCTGAAGATCTGGAGTAGACGAGCACAGAGCCGCTCACCAAGCCCACATAGAGACAGTGTTTCTGATACACAAGGCTGGTCACCGTGGATTTGTCTGGGGTGAAGAAATGCTGTAGACGGACTTTCTTTGACCGCTGACTGCTCTTGTACACAATAATGCTGAAAAAAAAAAAAAAAAACTGATGAAAATGGAAATATTTCATCAGACTTATTACCAAAGGTTTACTTAACAACACTTTACATCACATCGAGTATAGAAGTGCTTAGTCATGACTTTCAGATGACATTACAAGATTATTTTTTATTTTTTTCAAGTTGGGGGACTAGTATAATTTATATTGTTGATGTACAGATTTTAGTGTATTAAAAATAGCGCATAGGCCTACTAAATTATATTATCAATGCTCAACATTAGATAACTTTACAACATTGGATGGGAGTTAAAAGTACAAATATTTCTTAGATGGTTGTTACAGTTTAGCAAGTTCAAGCGGCTGGTCATGAGACTTTTTGTTTAGTATTTTTTTATATTCATTTTGGATTATTCTTGAAATTGCAATGTAAATTGTGCATGTTATCAATAGGGAAAGCTAGCCACTGCCCCCTATCTGTGGCATTATTACATTTATATTAAAGAATCTGAAAACTACTATTATTTATGCAGAATTATTTGTGAACTGTTTTGTACCTGCCCTCCTCCATGCCCAAACACACGGTGGGGCTTTCAGCAGCTTTCCCTGGTGGTGTGTGGTTGTTCTCGG